ATATATATATATATGTAGAGAGAGAGAGACCCATCATTACGTTGAGTATTTGTTTTCATCTCGATATTTTTAAAATTTTTTAAAATATTTTTATTCATGTTTGTGGTGCATAATGAATATATTTAAATGGAGAGTTAGTAATTTACATACCATACCTTAATCCTTTTTGCTTCTCCTTCCCCTCCCTTCTCCCTCCATCTCCAGATCCCTTTCCCATTTGTAAAAGGTTTATTTACCATTTCCTACTATCTTTTATTTTGCCCTTTAAATTATTTATACCTTGGATTTCTCATATAAGAGAAACCATGTGATATTTGATCTTTTCTTTCTGATTTATTTTACTTATCATTGCAGTCTCAAGGTACATCTGTTTTTCTACAAATGATTCCAAATTTATTCTTCTTTACGGCAAGTAGTACTCCATTGTGTACATGTACCACATTTTCTTTACCCATTCATCTGTTGTTGGACACACAGGCTGCTTCCAAGATTTAGCTATTATGAGTTCAATTGCTATAAACATGGTTATGCATGTGTCACTGCAATATGATGTCTTTGACATTCAGGAAGATACCTAGAAGTGTAAAGCTGGGCCAAATGGAATTTCTATTTTTAGTTTTTTGGGGAATCTGCTTATGGATTTCCACAATGGTTATACTAATTTGCACTCCTATCAACAATGTAGAAGGTATATATACAATGGAGTAATACTCTGCCAAAAGAAGGATAGCTTGAGACGTTTCTAGCTAAATGGATGCACCTGAAGACCATTTTCTTAAATGAAATAAATCGGACATACATGTTTAAATACCACATTGTTTCTTTTACACTGATGCCATTTTTTTTTTCCTTTTGGGTATCAGGTATTGAACTCAGGACTTTGCACTTGTGAAGCCATATTGTTTCTTTGGTGTGAGAAACTGAAAGTTCTTGATGATGGCCATTCTTTCTGAAGTAAAACAGAATCTCACTGTTGTTTTAAATAGAAATTGCATTTCTCTAATAGCCAGAGATGTTGAACATTTTTTCATGTATTTATTGGCTATTTATATTTCTTCTGAGAAATGTCTATTCAATTCAGTTGTCCACTTTTTGATTGGGAGTGTCTTTGTTTTGGGAGTGTCTAATTTTTCTGAGTTCTTCATTCTAGATATTAGTCCTCTGACTGAGAAATAGCTGGCAAAAATTTTTTCCCATTCTGTAGGTTGTCTTTCACTCTGTTGGTTGTCTCTCGCTGTGTAGAAGCTTTTAAATTTCATATAATCCTATTTGTTGATTCTTGGTACTATTTCTTGTGTAATTGGGGTATTTTTCTGGAATCCCTCACCCATGCCTGTATCTTCAAGAGTTTTACCTGCTTTACTAGGTATAGTTAGAATTTGTAGATCTTTTATTTGAATATAAATTTTAATCAAAGACTGAAGGATTCAGAACACTTACATATCATGAGAAACATGTTCAATGAACAAACTTTGTTTGTGGATCAAGGTGACTGTATTCTATACAGCTTACCTAGGAGACACTGGACTCTTTTCTCCTAATATTTTTTTTAATTGGAAGCATTCTGATTGTTTTCTAGCCCAAGGCCAGTCATGAATGGAGCAACTGCTCTGAATTTTTATGGTCAGGGCTATAATTTCTAATGACAGTTACCCTTTTTTCAATATCCACTACACACAAGGCCCTTTGTATACTTTTCATCAAGTTCTGATATTCCTTCCTGGGGGATTTTATTAACCTCCGTGGCTTCAGATTAAAACCCTGAATCTTAAAAATAAATAAATAAGTAAATAAAACCCTGAGTCTTGGACAGAAACTAAGCAAACTGCCAAAGGACAAGCATAGAAGAGCTGACAGGTCATGATTTGATCCCTGGCTTGTATTATGCCAAAGTTCATGACTCTATGGAAAGTTACATAAGTTATCTAGAGGATTTGTTCACTTCACCTTAGCTTGTCAAGTGTTTTTGTGAATGTGGCAGTGAAACTCTAACAAAGAATTAAGGACCCTGTGAAATAAATAATGCACAGCTGCCCCATCTGAGCAAGATTGGATGCACTGGTACACATGATACATGGGTGTTGGAAGGGTTTAACGTCTTGGAAACATCAAACAATGGTGAGGTAGGTTTTTCCACAGGAGGCTGGTTTTGAATTGGGCCTTAGATAGTGGGAGGTACCAGTTGTGAGAGAGGCAAAAGAATGAGAACAGAATGATTAAAGAATGGCAGGAGAAGGTTTGATTTATAATGAGTCAGAACCAGTGAATAGTTTGAGAGTATTAATAACTCTAAGATAGAAATGTGCAGAAGAAGGCTAGAATCAAATCAGGAGATGTCATCCAGTCCCCAGTTTCTATAGTACCTGCAGTTCCAGCTTGAGGGTATCACTGATCTTGAAGGACCAGGGAAGAAAATCAAAATGAATTTCCTTGGTGAACACACTGATTATATCTGATTGAAGTAGCCTGACCAGTTCTGTAGTTCAAATGAAAGAATGGATTGATAGTTGATTATGGACAAACCAAGCAAATGATCTGCTATTTTCAATATTGTTTCACTTTATGTACAAATGAAACAAATTCATTATTTCAGGAATAGCCTATAGAGGAAATTAGATACTGGTTCCTACTGTCTTAAGATCCAGGATTCTTGTTAACGGATGTAGAAAGGAGGTGGAAGTATCTATTAGCAACATACCTACATTCCCTTAGAGGGAAAGGATGACCCCTGATTTTTTTCTTTAAACCTATGATCAGGTGAATGAGACTCCAGATCACAACATCCATGCATTGTACCCCACCCCACTCCTGGTTTCAATTTCACTTCATGAAAAGTACCAAAATAAAATTCAGAGACACCCTGATGTGAAACCAAAAGGAATAAATCCCAGAAGGCCAAAAGTTGGGCTTTGAAGCATGTTGAAAGAAGTTGGAAAGGTCATTAAAAAAAAAAAAAGACTCTTTTAGGGAAACTGATTTTTATATCAGAAAGAATAAAGGACTGTTACTGAGGGCAGGAATCAGAGTCATATGAGACAGACTTAGTTAAACGATGTCAGGCTTACCTGACATCAGCTCCATGGAGCCTTCCAGTGAGTCCATAGTTGATGGATGCCTCCTGTATGGGATCAAGAAGAGAGCCAGTTTTCCCTGATAGGAAGCCAACCCTGCTTTTAATAGCTGGGGCTGCAGCAGAGAATACCTAGGCAGCAGGGCTACCTCCTTGGGGACTTGGGAATGGATTAAGGATGCTTCCTTCTGGTTCTTTCTTACTTAAGACTTCAGAGGCCCTGGCCATCACCTTCACAATCTAATCAACAACTCAAGGGGTTTATAAAACATCAGATTAAATCCTGAGGATGTATGTGGATACACATTCTCAATTCTATCCACAGCATCACTTCCATTAATGGCACTGTCATTCTCCGGTAGCCCAGGTTGAAAAAATCAGGAAATTGGGGTTTTTTTTTCCCCTTCAACTTTGTTTATTGATGTACTGAACATGAAAAAGTACAAAGAATCCAAACACAAAGGAAAACATGTATAGTCTCTTAAATACTCAACAGAACATATTTTCTACTCCAACAGATGTGAATTAAGTCATACTGTACAACTTCAAATAAATACTAGCCTGTCATTTTATTAAGTGCTCTGATAAACACTGTAAAGTGAAGCACAATTTGCATGCCTCTCATCAATGCCTCAGTTTGCTACAGTAGTATAGGAAAGAAGTATGTAGCTGCTGTTTTCCCGTGAGGGAAACCTTCGTTTTTTAAGTATATACATGTATTTTATTTTTTATTTTTCTTTAAACACAGGAGGTTAACTCTGACCATCTGAATGCACCTAAGGGTATGAGGAAGTGCTAAGCCAAGTGATTTCTGAGTATCATTGAGTGGGTCAGCATGAAAACTCACTTACTCACTTTAGCCCGTGCCTCACAGTATGTACTGTAAGGTAAAAATTGCCTTCACCAGGATGCACTGAGAACTATATAGTTACGTCCTGCTTTTTATATAAACTGGGATGCTCACATGCTTCCCCTTAGCACAGGCAGTGTGCTATGCATAACATAGTTGTACATTACCTTTGCACTTGCTTTGAGTTTTATTTTTTATTATTTAAAATGTAGTTAAAATTTTCAGTATAGTACAGTACATATGCGGTGAGGAAGTTGGGTTTGAATCCTCTTTTCTTCTGCATCCACCATATCCTACCCATCACCAATGCTGGGAGTTAAGACTTTGTGATATTTTCAGGGTTTATCCCTTATCCTGTCCTCTCTTGTCATTAGTTTAGACTCTCATTGTACCTCCAGAATGTCACAAGATGATATTCATTGGTCTCTCTGCCTCACCACCCTAAGTTCACTCACTGTTACCAGAATAACAATTCTTTCTTATTATATTCATTGTGTTACCCTCCCAATAAAAAAATTTATCGTGGTTTCTCATGAGATTGAGGCAAGTAATGGTTAAGGAACGAACTCGTCCCTTTTATCTAATTGTATGACAGTGAACAATAACAATCTCTTTAAGCTTCAATTTCTTCACCTGGGAATAATGATGGGCGATAAATAAAAATAGTCCAAGCTTCAGTGGATTCTTATGAAAATTAAATGAGATATAATGCATGTAAAATGCTTAGCACAATCCATGGGACACAGAAAGTACTCAAACATTAACCACTGATATTAATAACAGATGTAGCCTAGGTAATGAGAAAATGAAAAAAAGAAATAGCCCAGTAACTAGAAAGGCTGAGGAAAATGATGTTTACTTCCAAGATTGAAGAAGTCTCTCAGGTTTTAAAGTCAAGTTGAAAGAATGAAAGATGAGAGAATTGGATCTTGAGAATGGAATTTAGATGATAAAGTACAGTGGATCCTCAAGTTATGACCAGCCCAACAAAGGAACATCTTGAATTTATTAGGTTAATTAAAGATGCATCTGCCTCTTGTTATCTATAAGTGGGTACCCAGGTAAACATCCAGAGCTCAGCTGTATTGGCTTATAACCAACTTGAGTTACAACCAGCCCCCAGAAACCAATCGAGTTTGTAAATCAAGGATCCACTGTAGGTGGTAAATCTTGGAAAGGCTGGTTAGACTGGGAGGTGGGGGTAGCTTTTATTAGCTATTTGAATCCAACAGTCACAGATTTTTAAATTCTCAAATCTTCAGAGGTTCTGTTTATACTGTGATAACTACAGAAAGTGGAAATGTACCACAACGTCTGATAGCCTTTGCTCTGGACTTAGATTGCTGGGGTTGTAGTGCAGCTTTTATCACTTTTACTAATTAAGCAAACTTGAACAAGCTACCTTTTAAGGGCCAGAGCACCCAATACTGTATTCTTCACAACACCAAGATGTTATTTGCCTTTTTCACTCTCATTTTCTAATATGTGTTTAATAAGTTTTCCAGAGGGTTTTACGATATGTGATATCACAACATATTGAAATAATATGAAAACCTAGCATTTTTATTAAGCAAACATTAAAGAATTTCTCTAAAAATATAAAATTATACTACTCATCAAATATGTTATTGTTTTGGAATATGTGTTTTTCATTGAAAATGCATAGGCTAATGTGTAATGGATTTGTTATTTTACATTAATTAATATTGTTTAAATGTCTCACTTTTAGAAATAAATCAGACAGATATGTTTAAATATCACATTATTTCTCTTGTGTGAGAAACCCAAAGAGGAAATAAGGGTCAAAATGGATGATAGATATTGGGAGGTAGAAATAAAATGTTCAAATGCTAAAGGAAACTAGAGGGTGGGAGTAGGGGTTAAAAAAAGAATGGAAGAAAAACTATAGAAACAAAGTTTTGTAAAGGGAGAGATAGATAAGAAGGACTGAAAGGAAGGGCAGGAAATGGGGAAGAAAGCATTAAGATATAATATGTACAGGTACAAATTCCCTATGATGAATGTGATCATTATGTATTGTCACAAGTATTCCGATAAAATTAATTTTTAAAAAATAAAATATAAAATGTGTCACTTTTAATTTCTAATACTATTAATGTCTAATATTATTAATTATTATAAACAAATCTTTGGGTTCCTTAGTCATTTTGTGTAAATGGGTTCTGAGACCAAAAAGTTTGAGATAACTGTCATAGAATGCTGCTCAAATAAAATCAAGATTAAAGCTAAATCTCACCCAAGAGCATAATGTTTTCTTTCCTCTGGATAAAAGTAAGCAGCTGGTATGATATAAAAAATATTTTCTCGGCACCAGGGATTTAGCTCAGTGGTTCTGCCGCCTGCTTCACTAAGCTGAAGGACCCAAGTTCGATCCCTGGTACAAAAGAAAGAAAAATTTTCTCTGGGTATTTGGAATTATGACCAATTTTATTCTTTTTCTCTTCCTCCCACTTATTCTTTCCCCTCCCCTCCCCCTCCTTCTCTTAGTGTGCTGGGGATTGAACCCAGGGCCTTCCAGTATGCCAAGCAAGTGTCCAATACTGAGATATATTCTAAGCGTTATTTCTTTATTTATAAGTACGATGCACTAATATTTTTCTGACCAAAGTAGACTCAGGTCCCTGAAGTTGCCATTTGACATTAAACTAGTGGCTTCACTCCAGTCCATAGCAACAAAGTCTATGGACAGCACCATACTCCCACACCCAGCTCTGAAAAACAGCTATGACTGATTGTTAATAACTAACGCAGTCCAAAATCTCATGTATATCAACCTTCCTCAGGCTGGTGGTTCATCTCAACAATATAAGGACTTCTCATACATATTTAGTTAAAAACAAAACCATTTTGCTTTTTGTGACTAATTCATCTAATTTCTAAATCCATATTTTTTGTAGCAAGATCACGGAGGAACTTCTGAAGACTGGCATAGCAAGAATTAAAGATCAGAAGGTGAACATGGACCAGTTAATAAAGGCAAGAGAACATGAAATGAATGCTTACTATGGCATGGCTCAGAGGCAGAGGCAAGAAGAGGTACAACAGGTGCTTCAAGAAGCAGAGAAAACACACCAAGCCACTCTGGGCAATTTGGTGGATAAACTGGTTAATACCCAGGGAGAGTTGCTGTCCATAGCAAAGCAACTGGGAATCATGACAAACTGGAAAGATTTTCTGGAAGAAGAATTAGAGGAAACAAGAGCAGCATTTAAAAAATACATCAATTATACTTTTCCTAAGCTTTCACCAGGACATGCTGATTTTATTCTGCCAGAAAGAAAGAAAATGCCTTCCCACCTAGTTACAAAGCATGAAACAATTCCAGAGTAGAAGTTTTCACCTGAAATGTCTCTACTAAAGATACAACATTCAAAGACTGAATAAATTTACTCAAAACCAGTTATTGCTCTCCAGTGTTATGCAGGTTACTATACACAGTGTAAACATTTTGATGGAAAACAAAAATACTTAAAAGCACACATCACAGGATACAGCAAGTGCCAAATCTAAATGAGGAGAGAAAACTGAGAGCAATCAAACTGGTTAGGAGCGGAAAGTGATTCTTGGAGAAAGTCTAAACACCTATCTTTATTCATTTCTACATCAGATATATATATCTGCTGCAGTTGAAAATGGTAAAAGACCATATTCTTAGATTTTCCCACTGTAAAAAGGTGTGCAACATCCAGCAGAGAGATTACTGGTGAACTGCAGTAGCATTGTTTTTTAAAGGAATTTCCCTCATACTCAGTAAGACAAATTTAAATTCTAAGAGCCCTATATAAATTAATTCAGAAGGGACTCACTTTTATTTGCCAGTTGTGAAAGAAAGTTTTATCTCTAGAAATCAAATGCTCTGCTTCCAGGGATCAGGAGTCCTTTTGTGTTTATACCCAAACCTAGGGGTGTGTGGCATTCATTTCCTGTGGATCAAAATGCAGAAAAGCTTTAAGAACAAAAGTGCTTTGAGCAAATACGAGTCAGCATTTACTAACATCCTTATTCACAAACCTATTTGGTTGTTTAAGGATTAAAAATGTGGAAAGCAGATTTAAGTAAATTAAAAAGTACTCTTCTTAAGTACACTTTATGTGGATTTGTTTACGTTGACCAATGTTAGATTTCCTAATGATAAAAGAAGCAACTTATTTACCACTGCACAATGGACTCCTCTTTAGTGCTTAGCTTCCTATACTGCACTTCCCACTCACTGGTGAAGGGCTGGATTTCAGAATAGAGTTTTCCATTGCTTTTTCATGTCAATTGTCCTCACAACAATCTTTAAGATAGGACAGAGATTGATGTCCTATTTTTATAAATGACTAAACACCACCATGTACTAAAATATGTGTAATGTTAGTCACTTTAAATACATAATATTTAATCCTCACAATAACTTTTGAAAGTAATCATTGCTCCCAATTTTTAAAAAAAGGAAAAACAAGACATTAAATAACTCTCCTCAGTACACACAGCTTACAAGAACCAGAAACCAAGGTATTCCCAAGTTTGGCAGACAAAAGAATCTTGAAGAAGCTTTCAAGGTTTTTTAGTATTGAACAGACAGAAACAGCAGCTAACAGCATGCTGAGCATATTATGCACTTGAACTCCATTTCCATAGTCACCTTTTGGGGTAGGACTGAGTAACAGATATTTTAAAGTAGCATAGTCTGGGTACAGACATTATATCCTTCACTTTCTCAAAGTCATACAGCTAATTAGGTGCAAAGCCCATGTCAGTCTCTGAGGATATAGCTCTTGGCCTGTGATCAGCCCGCGTTCTGTTCAGCCTGGACAAATGTGGTCCACACATGTGTGTGCATGTGTGCATTGTGAGGACTGCCAAGAATGTGATCTGTCCTCTGTGTCATGCACCATATTTATCTCATCTAAGGGTAAGAGGATATTGTATCTTTTTACTGTTGCTGGAGTGACCCAGTAGTGTTGAGTAGCCAAGGGGAAAGGTCCACTAAAGAGACCAGCTTCTTGGCTGCAGTTAAGTACTGTATCTCCATTGACATCTTTGACACAGTGAGTGATAGAAAGCCCAGTCACTACCCTAATTGTGATAGTCAGTTGTGTCAACTTGAGTAAGTAATGCCCAACTAAATATGCTCAGCATAGCTCTGGGTGTGGAAGACCCGCCCTACGGAGGATTATCACCACAGCAAAGAAGGAAAGATTGCTTCTGTCTTCTTTGGAGAAGCTCCGGTCGTCTTTGCTTTCACCTTGATGTCATCTCCTGGCTTCCAGCACAGACTCTTCAGCTTTCCTTACTGCCCCTTCAGACTTCCAGGGCAGACCCTTTGGCCTCCTGATTCACACTTGCACTGGACACTACGCTGAGCTCCAGAACTTGACTGATCCTTTGGATCCCCAGTGTGCAGATGTGGGAGCCTTACTGATCGTGCCCAAAGCAGGCTATAAAGAGTTAACCCCAAAATTGGCTTGTTTTGAGAAGTGAGTCTGGTTGAAGCCTAAGTTCTGAGGTCAGAGTGACTCACACCCAAATTCCATTCCCACAACTAAAACCTTCTTAACGAGAAGGATAAGGTTCTAATTACAGCCCTATATTTTCTCTATGCTGTTCCCAATTTGAAAATGATCTGTCTACAAGCCTCGTCTGCATTAATATCCATAGCAACTGTAAGACTGTACATCCTTGCATATAGTTCACCTTTACCCCAATTTGATTAGGAATAAAAATCAGTGGCTTGGACTGACCAGCACCTTTGCTGGTTGAGCCCTGGCTCTCTGTTTCTGTCTCTTTAGTTCTGTTGTTTAGTTTTTCTCTCAACACCAAGCAGATCAGAGTCTACCGCAGGGGTCTCTGATATGCAAACAGGCCTTTGGTGCTCTTCCATATTTGACTCTGTGGGTGGCATTGTAAGCTGATTTTGTAAATCCTTGCATACTTATATGTCTTGTATTATATCTGTTTCTCTAGTAAGCACTGACTGATACACTAACTCCATGTGGTTTCTGATTATATTTGTCCCTTTAATCTTTTCTTCTGAGGCATTCTCTCTCCGGTCCCCTTTTTTTCCGAGAATGACAGGTCTGATCAATAGACACCTGAAATGACAGGAACAGAAACTACCTCAAGCAAAGACAAGCCTTGCAGGACAGATCATCCCAAGAGAGCAATCACTCCATGATGGGAACCTGTGTGGCTGCCCCCCCACCCAAGCAGAAGCTGTTCTCATAGTGGGAACCAAATTGTGCCCTCCCCTCAATGAGGGTTCTCGCAGAACCAGTTTTGAGATATCCATCAACCAGACCACTGTTGAACTGGGATTCCCTACTGTTACATAGTGGTGCTGCCAGCTATGCAAACCCCCAATCTTTGCTTTTGTTTTCCTTTTCTATTAAACCCAAGCGCTCTGTCAGCGCCTAGAAGACAGACCTTGAATCCCTTTCTCTGTTCCTCCCAGTATGGCCACACTGATTAAATCTCTCTTTCTGCCCTTCACCATTGCTCTGCTCCTTAAGTGGTATTTTAGGATGAGTTGCTGAGCCTGGCCTTTTGGAACTTCCCAAAACTGGGTTTTGAACTAAAGCCCTGGTAACAGAGGTGATATGAAAAGACAGCAGAAAAATTACGACTGGTTTGGCTAAAGGAAACTAGCTTCTTGGTTTTCAACCAGATTGGAAGAAATTAATATGGTACTTTGCTTCTAGTATTTTCCTTGTTCATACTCTAACCCCTGATCTCAGTCAAATCCCAATCAACAATTTCCTTCATGTTTTTAAAAATAATTTGAATGCTTCTGAGAAAGGAAAAATTAGAGGTGTTGTTACTGTACTGATTTCTTGAGCGCTGGCTCCTGCCAGCCGGAGGACTCCCCTGCCACTCGTATACAGCCGCAGTGCTGAGTGCTTCGTGTTATAGTGAGGCAGGAAAGGCAGGGCACGGCTAAGTCTGGCTGGGAAAATAGATTGCAAAATCCTAGGACACATGTGCAGATGGACTTTTCATAAGAACTGTAGCAGGTTTGATAGGATTACCTGGACAGCGAGGGAAATATAAAAAGAGACAGTCGCTATTAAGTACTTTCTATCATGTCTCTTCACGATGGCCCACCCTATGCTATAGAGTATATTTATTTTTTTTCTTTTTTTCCTACTTTTACTTGACCCAAATTCACTCCACAGAGCCTGTTCTTCCTGCCTTTAATAGATGTGAAATCTTGCCACCATTTTTTTTATACTTAGTTTGACTGATTCATTGTTGGGGACAGAAAGAAACTAGAAATCACTTCTAGAAAGAGACTACAGCACCCAGAACCCTGTAACAGTAGGGTGGTCACAAGGGACCCTATCAGGACAGACCAACTTCATCCCACGCTCCATGGCCACTTACAGTATTATCTGGAGTCAGCACCAACACACAGAGGGGGAGATCTTATTTCAGTTCTCTTCTCAGCTCTACCTTCTCAAGGCCAAACTGAAGGATCGTCTTTGTTCTTACCCAAGTCCTTCAGCTTAATTTAATCATCTCAGCCCACAGCTCTCTTTTTAGCTCGAATATCTTCCAGATAATTACCCTTGAGAATTAAAATTCAAAGTGGATGTGTAATTTTCATTAAAAGAAAAAAAAAAAACAGGGCCTCTCAGTTGTCTCCTGTTCCTATGGTTCTGATAAGGATGATCTTGATGTATAAAATAAGAAATATTGGAAAATACAGCAATAGCCATGTATCGAGCATCCACAGTATCTGATGTTATAGTTGGCTCCATAATAACCCTTGTCTCATTGGAATCTCACAGCCATACTACTCTTGCTCCCCGTTTGGAACAGAAGAAACTGAGATTTAGAAAAGTCACCGGCTGAAGGTCACACGCATTATCCATAACAGCATATCAGGCTGCTTTTAGTGTCTAAATATTGAGCAGGTATCGATGCACAGCTTTCAAAATATATTGGCACTGCAGCAAGGAAATTCTGAAATATTGTGCAGAACCCTGACCTTTCCAGTGGACATGGATGGGTGCCAAGAATGAAGGAACCAGAATGGACACCTACCCCTGCCCAAGTACATGTACTCTCGTAAGTGAGCCTGAGGGATGTGAATGCAGGGAAGGGTGAACCCTGCAGCGCCATGCTAACATCAAGGACAGATTTCTCTGACGGGATCCAGGAGAGAGAGCGATTGCCCGGTAGCTCAAAGGTTGAGAAACTCAAAATGAAATGAAAATTTAAAGTGAGTGGTAAGTATAATTTTGAAATCTTGGTGAGATCCTGACACTGTGTTCTACTAAAATGACTGGGACTAAGATTAAATCAGGCTTTTCTCAAAAAGAAGTATTCCTCAAGTGAGCCAGTTTTCAGCATAACTTAAGAAAATACAAATAACTCTCCTGGTACCATTCACTTTGAGTACAATGAGAGAAGCAATTGTAAACTTTAGATACTAAGCTCCTTGTAAGTTACTATAATTGCAAACTGTTATGGTTTATATTTGGAGGTCTCCCCAAAATCTCATGTGCTCAATGGTGAGGATTTGGGAGGGGATTGGATCATGGGGTCACAAAACTCAGTCGATTAGTTCTTTGATGAGTTTATAGCTAAATGTTTTGTTGGGAGGTGAAACCTGTTAGAGAAAGGTGCTCAGTGGGGTCATGGCCTGAGTGCATCTTCCTCCCTCCTCTCTTCATTTCTGTCTGTGTCCTGCCTGCCATACCTCACTGGAGTTCTTTCTCCTCTGCTATGCCCATTTCCTGCACCACTCTGCCTTGGAGCCAGCCAACTTTGGCTCTATAGACTGAGCCAAAATAAACCTTTCCTCCTCAGAGTTGTAAGTGTTAAGTATTGTGTCTTGGTGACTAGAAAGTCATGAAGACACAAACATTTTGGTGACTTACTTTAGAGAGCGCTTATAGACATGTATTTTCCTCAGTTGTCTTAGATGCTACCTGAATAATCTGAGTATATGCAGTTCTTAGGTCTTCTGATAACTAGGGACCTGAAGACCATCTGGGAACTCAACCTGAGAACTGTAAGAAATTCACTGCAGTTTAATTTCTGGATGTTATTCTACCAGAAAATGAACTTTGTTTGTTTTTTTGGAGGGAGGGGGCCTTTGTACTGGGAAACAAATGTATAGCATCACTCAGACATATGGAGAAGTCCCCCTCCCAGGCACAAAGCACAGGGGGTTGTACTGCTTAATAATATGTGGACATTTATGTTACAAAGAAGTCCCTTTGATAGTTTCTCTAACCCTCCTTCTATGACCTACTAAATCATTCACACTCCAGCTTTTATTTGCACTGACAAGATGTAGACACTACAATATTTGTAAAACTTAGGCTCTTTTCCAGATCAGAGGATTTCAATATTCTGATACCTCTAATAAAAATCTTCTTTGTCCTTGGCTAATTTTAAGAGCTAATACAACATCTGGGGTTGTTCTAGGTCAGGGGAATATAGAAAGGAATGTAGCTGGCAAGTGTTTTGTTGATTAGTCATCATCCAGAGACAGTTAGACTGTAGAGATAAATGCAAGTCCACTGCAGGTCCTGTCTTCTGTATGTTGGCAGGGGAGTAAGTGTGACATTACCAAACACATGAGTCTCTCCAGTTTGAAGATTTATTTTTTAGGATTTGTTATCCCTTCTTTTTGTTGAAATCTTTTTCCTTCTTCCTCTTGAAAAATGATTATTGTATCTTCCATCACTAAAAAGTTTATTCCTTTTTTCACTATGGAGAGTTCACACAAGGCAAAAAATACATTAAATGGTTGGTTTTAGTGTGCTGTATAACTTTGCTGTATATCAAACTAATTTTTACAAGTTTTCATTCCAAGCCTCAAATTATGTAATTAATAATATGCCTGGTTATTTATGACCTAATTGTAATTCTTTCATTAATAAAAGCTAATGGAAAAGGACCCTTTATTAAGCTGATGACTAGACCTACATTTAATTTTCCTGCAGTGTATGACGTATTATACATATTAAAAGATATGTAATATTTTACTGATAAATCTACCCTTTAAAAGTAATATGTTTTAGGATGTAATCATTTTGATGTGAATCATGTAAATGTTTATAATATGCTGTTTATTATATGTGTAGTATTTCAAGAGATTCACTTAATTGCCTTTTGCCCACATACATTACGTAGTTTTTGAATGTTCTATGCCAGGCAATAGATTTATCCACATTGTCTGCAATCCTGACAACAATCTTTAGAAATAAGGATTAATTATTCTCACTTTAATCTTGAGGAAAATGAAGTTTATCAAGGTTAATTTACTTAGGGACATTCAGCTGTGAAATGATGGGTCCTGTCCTCTAATGTCCTACTGTACTATCTCTATTATATATTATTCTGATACATTATAATATTATAAGCTAACATTTATCATGTACCTCTATGTACAAGGCATTCTAAGTATTTATCATTATATAATATGAACTCATTTAATCCTTGCAACAACTATTTGGCATAATGACAATTATAACCCCCGTTTTACCAGTAAATAAGCTGAGACACAAAGAGGTTGAAAGTTCTTTAATACTTCACTGACCCGGTAAGTTACAAACTCAGAATTCAAGCCCATCTGTCTGCCTTATCCTTACTCACATGATATTTCTTACTTTATCACAGGAACTTTCCATCTTACCTACATTGGGTATTTCTTTCCCATCCTGGGATTTTAAGTCTGAAGAGAACTTTTTCTGCTGAGAAGCCAAATCAAACCCAAAGACCAGATAGTATCTTTGACATAGCATTGTATGCTGTGTGAGTATTTTGTATCCCCTTACCCCAATTCAGTGTCCTCATAAAGGCTATTTGTATCATTTACTCATTTTAAGGAATAACATTTAATTACAAAATCAGATAACCCATAGATAATTCTATGATCATAATTCTTAATTAGACTACATAGTAGCTTTTAATAAGATGTATGTGATTTTAATTATTCATTTTATTTATTCAGCCTGAATCAGGAAGCAACTTACTATATGTTAGGTGCCATGTTAGATGCTTGGGATCTTGGCACATAAGATAAGCAGTAGTCCTGTGTCTTAATGAACTGAGCAAAGTAGATGGAATGACAATACATGCATTTGTATAATATGTTTGAGGGCTGAAGAAGCAATAATAACATGCTGTGCCCCACTTTGTGACTGATGCTGTGCTATCTGTGGGTATTGACACTTGTCAACAGTAGCCACCTTGCCTGGATGATATGCTTGCCTCATGTTAAGTGCTCTCCACAGTGGTGAAGGAATGACTGGATTCAGTATTTCACTAGGGCATGCAACATGGATTCTACCATCTCAAGGACAGATTTTCTTAGGTTTTCACATGCTTTTGTTTTTCTCAAGGTTCTCTGATGGCCAAGAGTGGGTGACTTTTGGCCCTATTAGTTCAGACCAATGAGTTCTTATCTAACAAAATACCATTTTTGGGTTCTTTGAATTACCAAAATGATCTCAGCCTCTTTGGAAAGGCATCTGGAAATATAAAAGAAAATCCTACAATTGTAGTTACCAGTTCCTGGGAGACTAAGTTGGCTAAGTTCTGCCTAGAAATATAACATTTATTTTTGCATTTTATCCCTTAATTTCTGAATAACTAATAAAAATTAATCTAGTGTCTTTTGTTTACACATAGGAGGTGAAATAAATTTGAGATTATTGAAATAAAAAACTAAAATTAAAAGATATCCTTGTGTATCAATATGATATTTAGGCCCCTTAATAAAAGGTGATCATTTCCATACTATTATCATACTTTTCTCTAAGAATCCTTTTTGTGTCACTTGCCATGTGACTCAGAAGACACATTCTTATTAAAACACAGGACAAAACTTTCTTTTCAATGAACTAAGAGAAAATAATAATATAAATGAAACAAATTAACATATATTAAAATATTTTTGAAAAACAGAATAGGCAATTTGGGGAATTATTAACTTTTCCCTAATTCCTGTTATTTATCTCATTTTTATCTCATTTTTAGTTTGCTTTTCATTTGTATTCATATATAATATATTTTATATTTGTTTTTTAGTTCTCATATGAGAAACATGCCATAGTTAATCTTGTGTATCTGAGTTAATTCACTTAATATCATGTTCTCAAGTTGCATCCTATATTGTGCTATTATCTGTTTCTCTTTTGTAAGGTAGACTGTTTTTTGTCTGTCTTGTACTCTGAGTAACTACTTTGAAGATAATGATACAGTGTATTAACTACTGTTGCTCTTATTATAAAATTTTGTTTTTATTTTTTTATAAAACAAAAAATTATAAAAAAACACAAGGACATGTACACAAATGCTCATAGCACCTAAATTTGTAATTGCCCCCATTGAAAATAGCCCAAATGCCCATAAATTGATGTAGATACACAAATTTTGACATATTCATGCAATGGAATACTACTCAACAGTAAAAAAGTAAATTTCTGATATATGTAGCCACAAAAAAAACATAATATAAATTTTTAAAGTTCATCCTCAAGAACCTACTGCCCTATGATTCAATTTTTTTTTTTTAATTTTAAAGGATGCCCAAGGAACAAGATCAGCTGTGAAGGGGCATGGGGAAACTTTCTGGAATATTGAAAATGTCCTATTTTGGCCATGCATTTTCATATTGTCAAGACATATCTAATTGTATAACTAATACTGTTTAATTTTATTTTATGTGTACCATACCTAATAAAGCTGATTTTAAGAGAATCTTTCATAATTGAGTTATTTAGGAAGAAGTTACTCAAATGCTCTAATTATAGCTCCTCACTTGTGTGTAGTAACAGCACAATGGTCTGGGATCAGGCTGCCTAGAAATGAATCCCGTTCTGCCAGCTGGCAAGTGTCTGACTTTGGACAAATTGTTTATTAGGCCTCGCGTTTTTTCATCTGCAGAACAGGAATTGTAGTTGTACCTGGCCAATGGGGACATGGTAAGGATTCAATAAAAACCATAGTACCTGGTATAAGTACACTAAATGTTAGTAATTTTCTTTACCACAAAAATGAGACAAGACATATATGGTTTTGCATTTCTCATAGAGACATATTCTAATTTTTTAAATGTGCCAATTTTAGCATATTTGGTTTCTTCAGTCTTTGTGTATTAATATATGTGTGAATTATAGTTTGTGCTTACAGGCTTTATTTTTTAAGTGTGTTGTAGGTGGAACTTTTAGCTTTAAAAAAATCTCATAAAATATTTGCTGACATTTAATATATGGATTCTTCTACTCAATTTCTTTTCCTCTCTTGCCTTGTGGAGTATATCTATTGATTATAGTGTTAAGCACGTTGCTAAAGAATGAAAAGCTGCAAAACAGAATATGCCCTGCACCTGTATTTTTTCATAGAAACCAGTTATTTGTCTGAATCTTAAAGAACTCAAGTGGAAAGTACACTTACAAACTTAAAGGTCAGAATTAAAAAACACAGTTTGAAATGGAATAAATGCAAGATTTCTCAAGATTTTAAGGTTTCTGTCTACAAGGAGTTAATAAAAGTATGTTCTGGTAAGTGCATTATCATCATGCTTTTGAACAAACTACTGTAAATTATGCTGTAGCATGAATGGATGAGGGGTGGGGATGAATAGAAGAATATTAGTGGCCTAAGCACAGAACCCAGAACAACTGCCCAAGACAATGATGGTAGTAAAATTAAGGTAGCACCTACAAACAGAAGACCATAAAGAACTCAGAGACAAAAAAGAACGTAGAAGTCCTCTAACATACCATAGGGTTGTTATTACTGTTTCTGCATTGCTACTGGCCTTGGTTTTGTTTTTGAAAGGTAATAGGCTCACTGATCCTAAACTTGGGAAAACAAACAGCAAGATTAAATTCTGACAATAAACAGAATGATGGGGCACTAGCTTTTTCAGTAGAGACCAGTAACAAACAGTAGTCCTGAGGCATAAATGGACACAAAAATCAATGACACTATATAGGATTTCCAGAAATAGACTCAAGAGCACTCATGCATTTTTTAAAATTTAGTGTATGGCAAAGATGTTATTTTGAAGTAGCAAAAAAAAAGATGACATTTAATTAGTGACTTGGGAGCAGCTGGATAGTCATTGAGGGCAGATATTATTGAATCTTCTTTCATAATACATCAAAACATATTTCAGGTGGATCATAAGTTTGTAAGTAAAAATGAAACTGCAAAAATGTGAGAAGCCATGTGAGAAATGTAAAGAAATCAGACTGAAGAAAGCCTTCTATGTTTGACATGAAGCCTGGGGGGGGTAATAAAAAGATAGGTAAATTCAGCTTCATAAAAAGAGCTTTTTAAATTTTGCTAGGCTAAAACCACAAATAAGGTCAAAAGACAAACCACAAAACAGAAAAATGTCTGCATCTCCTATTAGACATAAGGAGCTAATTTCTGTACTGTATAATGGACTCCTCAGAATTAACACAAATAGATCAACAATCACATAGAAAAGCAGATAAAATATAAATAGAAAATAAACATAATTGAGACAAAATATTTTCTAATTATTCCAGATAACTGCAAATTAAAACTACACTGAGAGGTCATTTTTTTATCTATAAGATTGGAAAAGACAATAAAATACAAACTTGGCAAAAGTATAAAAAGTACTCAGACATTGTTGGAGGGAGCATAAATTAGTACAGGTCCTATGACAGCTTAACAGTATCTTTTAAAATTAGAAGGCATAGAACTTTTGGCTCAATAATTCCACTTCTAGGAATTTATCCTATCTTCTTGCACATACAAAATA